CAAAAGGGAAGAGACCGAAGGGAAATGTTCTGTACTGCTGCTAATACTACGTCTCTTTCAGGAGATTGAACGCATTCTTTGAAATCTAATTTTACCACTGCTTTGTCTCAGGCAGGTCGTTGATATAAGCCCTTGTTGCAATGAACCGCTGCTTCACTTTCCTTAAGAGACCACCAAGCCAGCTGGTTTTGGTTGAAGCATCATGGCTGGCCTGTGCACGAAAACTTCGGACAGACAAGCTTTGGATTACAAGGTCGGCGAACTTTTGCCTACTGCAGATTTGGCCGAATATCCTCCATACCTTCTTTTTAAGTGCACAAAGTGGTGCACCAAAAAGAAAGGTCTGATTCATCAGGAATCAGACAGACAAGGTAATTGGTTGACAAACCTTGTGATCTCAGAAAGCATGCTCCTGCAGTTTCCCCAATAACTGGATTAACATTTCCTTTAAATGCCGGGCCTTATTCCAGTGTAATCCCCAGCAGAGCCAGATGGGAACGACATTATTGCTTGAAATGTCCTGAGTCTTCCATAAAAAAAAGGGGGCACAATCAATGGTTCCATAGTGGGACAGAGGTATGGAACTGTTGGTTTCACTGGTTTCCCTGGCAGGTGCTTTTCCTCAAGTGGCTTCAGCCGTGTCAGCACCCTGGAGCAAATGTATCTTCACTGGTAATAATCTGATTGCCCCCACTGTGTTTGCCCTCTTCAATTTCCTGCTCACTTGGACTCTGACTTTTTCACTGTCAGTAAGAGTGAGTGGGGGTTCTGCATCTCCCTTTTTTTGTGTTGACGGGGAAGGCGAAATGAGGTTATCACTCTAGGAAAATCTCTTAAGATTTACAGGTTAACCATTGAGGCCTAGCCCCTTTCTCCCCTTCTTTCCGCACAGCTAAGCAGACATTGCCAAAAAGTAGCAATTGTGCCCATGCGCTGATGGTTGGTTGAGCATTTAAGATAGTGGAACCATCGTTTACTTTTTCAGGAGGTTCTGTAAGTTTTCCTCCCAGCTGCGTGTGGACGGGCTGCTTGGGATATGGATAGTGTTCCTCGTACCTGTTTGCTTTAATTGCTTCCAAGAGATTGTCTGATGAGATGAAATCACTGTGAGTGGTTCAGGTTGCCTGAGGGTGGCCACTGGATCATCACTTTCTCACAGGAGACATCCTGAAACCAGGGGGCAACTACCGAGTTTGCGGAGGAAACCATTAGAGTTGAGGACAACTAAGCTGAAAGCATGACCGACACTTCCCTCTCCTAGAATATGGCCAGCCGTTCCATTTATATATATATAAAATTTTCCTGACAGATATGCAAAGGTTAATGGAAGCTATATTGGACACTCCATGTAATCGATAAATTTAAACTCAGTAACTCAGACAACAAACCAATTATCTTTTGAAAAGATCCACACAACCCACACACACACACACACTCACCACACACACACACACACACACACCACACACACACACACACACACAACATGCACACACACACACACAACACACACTATTATATATATATAATATATATATATATATATATATATATATATATATAATGTTATATATATATTTATATATAAAATTTACTAGAATTTTTTTTTATCTTACTTGGTATGGATGCTAAAATCGTTTTAAAAAGTTTTTCCCGACTTAATAACATCGCGAACAAATTCTATTAATTTTCCTTATTTTTCAGACGTGGTTGATGACTCGCGGCATTCCCATAAACGAGGATAATGAACCCTCATATTTCGTCCTACAATTTATTTCTTTACACAATTACAATTTAAGTTCCCTCTTGTTTTCAAGGAATACATTGAAGAATTACACTTCGCGAAACAGGATCATGCACCTCTGATGGACTGCTTTGTCACAGGCTGGGGCAGAAGGAAGGAGACACTCCCAGTATCCGCAGAAAGTACGTCCCTACGGTGACAGCGAAAAGATACTGCAACCTGACTATTCCCTGGATGATTTTACTGATGCCATGATCCTGTGTGGCGTTCCAGAGGGAGGGAAGAAACTTGTGGCTAGGTGATTTCTGTGGATCTGCTGTATGTGATGATATAGAAATCTCATCTACATGGTTGGCATCGTGTCTTAGGGGTACGGTTGTTCGTGGTCCCAACGTAACCCAGTGTGTAGTTTATATCAAATGAATGTTTCACAATGTTCACAGATGATTGTTGTAGAAAAATTTGAAGTATTACAAAAGCCCTCTAACTCATCAGCCAGGCTTTGGAAAATGTTACATAAGCTTCGATTTTACACTGACTATGGGTCGACGCTTATGAAGAAATATAAACCATACCACGTGTGGGTATTGAACCCGCGATCAGAGAACATCTATCAAAAAATCCAGACCGTCGCGTTAGCCACTGGGCCAGATACTTCGATGAGACTCCTCAACTAAATATTTTTCATTAATCTTGATGAAGCTAGCTGGCCCAGTGCTAACGCGACGTCTGGAATTCTGATACTCTGACGCGGGTTCAAACCACCTCCCATTTATGTTTTGTTTGCAATCGTATCGTTTACGATTTCGTGAGTGCTCTCAAAAAAATATAATTTGATTGTTCCAGAAGTTGTTTATTTAACATCTCGCTTTTTTTATTCATAATGAGTGAAAATTTTAGAATTTTCTGATGAAATTAACGGTCTAATGAATGAGAGTGGGAAAATGGTAAGGATATACGGAAGATTGCTTAGTGGATCTTTATGGAAGAAAACACATATTGCGTGACAGCAAGTAAAAAAATGCAACATTGAAAAAATGAACAGGAAGACTTAATGGCCACCATGAGCATGAACACTCACTCAGAGGAATAGCAAGAAGAGGCAAGAGAAGCACATTTTAAGTGAACTAAGTAGGTTATACTTCAGTGAGCGGATAGACTGAAGAACTGTCAGATGGTGGACAGTGAACGGGAAGTGCCTGCAGAAGTGGCCACAGAAGTACTGTCTCTGAAATCTTCCCACTAAAGTCTCGTAACTACATGTCAGACCTTGGTTGAGTCTCCGTCCATTCTTCTCTTTTTCATGCAGTCGATTACTACGACTTAGCGTGAGTATAATTGGGTACGATAAGCATTGAGGAATATGAAAAATACATGCTCATGAAACTTTTCTGGGCTGTGAGAAGAGACAGGAGGGATCAAAGATGGTCACCACTAACACAACATTGAAGCTGTGTCTGAAATTTAATATTAAAGCCTTATAGCTCAGTGTGACAGCACTGGACTCTGCTGCAAGTCAGAACCACTGTCGAGTTTTCCTTCCATTCATCTGTTTAGTCATTAACGCTTGTTTATATAACTTATTTATTACATACATATAGAATAAAATGAAGAATGAACAGATCTTGAACCGTGGACCTCGCACGTAGCGGGTTCCAGTGCTGTTCATTAAGCTACTAGGCATAATAGGAAATTTCGGAACAACACTTTTCGTTGACGTTTTGGATAAGCACACCACCGTGACCCACTCTCCCATAACCACAGACACTATTCGTGTACATCTATTCTTATACCACTCAAATCCACATAGTCCAACTCAAGATAATTCGTAAGGAACGAATTGTCTTGAGTTTATGGACCTCTATGTACTGTATTATGGGTAAGTTTGCAGATCGTCTACTCTCCTGCAGTCTTTCTCGCTGATGAAGTTTCCTGAGACTATTAATCTTATTCATCTCCATGCGACTTAATAAGAAAGATGGAGGAATCATCTGACAGGTCGTTGGCAAGTCCAAACGCCGGCCTTGTTGCCGATGCAGCCGTGGGAACAGTGGGGCCTTGATGCATCCATCGTACGGATGACTAATTCAGATGGGAGTCGGTTTCTACAAGGCGTAAGCAGCAGCCAATGCATCACGTGCATACAACACTAACCTCACAATGGGAGAAATTTCTTATCAAACTGAACTTCGCAGTTAAAAGCGACATTGTACTCTGAACTATACAAGACATTGCTTTGCTCGTATTATCTTTTAATTCACTCACACAACAACATTTACTCGGAATTTCTCGTTGGAAAAGCATGGAATTGACTCTCGTGAAAGGTGTCCGAGCAAGGACGCTCATTCGCTCTTTCCTTTACTGTTTAACTATGAAAATGGTCTCGAGCTGAAATGTGGCATTAGGTTTGACCTAAACTAGCCATGCACCGCAGCATTTCTGCTAGAAGGTATCAGCATGACATGATGAACAAGGAAGGAATCAAGGGCCAGTCCCTTAAACCCCTCGAAATGGTGAGCTAACACTATTGGACGCATTATGCTAACGTCTATTTATGATGATTTCAACACGTAAATAGTTTTTCTTTCCAAAAAAAAAATAATTATGGAGAGTAGGACCAGCACTCAATTTTTAATTTTAGAGGAAAGCAATAAACCACAGGGATTATACAGTGGCTGGGGGAATGAGGAAAGGAGATAAGTCGCATTCATTAGATCAAGAGCACCTCACCAGCATCAGGATGAGTAGTACGTCACATTAAAACTCTTTTTAATTGATTTTCAGAACACATACGGCGTCCAGAATGGTTTTATTTTGCATCAGCGGCCTTTCGTAGGCTTAATTTAATAACATAATATTTACTGGAAACTGAAATTAAGATAGATATATCTCCTGATAGGATGGGTTTGGAGGTGAGTTTTCCATACCTGTCTCCTGACAGAGAGGGTGTGGAAGCCTGAGCCCCCGACACTTAACTTCTGTCATGGGAGGTATAAGTTCCCACACCTAAATCCTATCAGGGGGGCAAGCGTCCCCCCAACCCACGTGGAACATGAGTCTGAGGGCGTGAGTTCTCTATACCTACCTTCTGACAATCTGTGTGCAAGCTCCTGGAATTTCACTACTTTTTCACAGTGGTTGTTTTACATATTTGTATGTATATGTAAGAGAGAGAGGGAGATGGTGTGTGTGAGAGAGAGAGAGAGAGAGAGAAAGAAAAAATGACTGATAAGTTAAGGATCTGGTTGTGAGTATAAATGGTGGCGTGGAATATGAATCTTCTCCAGAGACCAACCATGAAGACCTTCGTGTTCTGCCTTCTCCTCGCTGGAGCGCTCGGTGAGTTCCCTCTGTAAACACCGTCAATGATGTCTAAACCTGCACTGCAATATGATCTCTATTTGTGGAAAAACCCGAGTTTTCCATGTAAGAATGTGTCTGAAAGGGTGAGAGAGAGAGAGGTATATGAGCCTATATAGAGGGGCTAGCGATTATTGCTAGCAACAAAAATGTTCGTTATCCTTTTAAATTCTAGACCAAAAATAACTACTCATGGGAGAAGGAAAGTGAATAAAATTGGTACTTATTTAACATTTTTTTGAGAGAGTTGCAAATCCCATTCGAGGTCACACAGCTCCTGAGGACTGGGGGCGTGAGATCTTAGGGTGTGAATTCTCTATACTTACCTTCTGACAATCTGTGTGCAAGGTCATCGGTTTTCCCCTGTGTCCCTAACAAACGCTTCCGGTCAAGGCAGGTTCGATCCCCGGCTGGTCACATTCTCCTGTGAGCAGCCGGGGATCGAACCAGAGTTATTGAACCAGCCTCCCGGGAAGCTAGCTAAATTCTCGACGCCTTACTCACTACGCCACCATGCTTCAAACGTTAGACGTCCAGACACACTGGACATGTCACTACCTAATGCGAGCACATTCATGGCCGTGGATTGCTACGGGACTTCTAATAGGGATGCAATAGAAACAATATTTGTGAACCTGTTTCCGTCAGAGGCACCAGGTAAACACCTTCCCTACAGACAAGCAGCTTCAGCACTAAATCTGTTCTTACCTCCCTCAAAGCAAATCCCATTCGAGGTCGCACAGCTCCTGAGGACTGGGAAACTGGTGTGATCCAAGGATGGAGTGAGTTGCTCTATTTCGGTGATTTATGAGCTCATCGTCCGTCATCAAGACGCATCCAAACCCTCCCATAAAGGGTGTGTAAATCTAAAATCCTGCATTCTTTTTTGTCCACAGCCGCTCCCTCACGTAAGCTGAGGTTTCGTTTAGGTAACAACTACAAGATCGTGGGAGGCACCGATGCTGAGCCTGGTGAGTTTCCTTACCAGCTGAGCTTGCAGGACATTAGTTGGGGTCTTGCATTTGATTTCTGTGGTGCCGCCCTCTACAAGGAGAACTGGGCCATTTCTTCTGGTCACTGTATCGAACACGATGACTTTGACAACCCAGATTATCTCCAAGTAAGTCATCTATATATGGGCATATTTTATAAAGCATTTATACATACTAATTAAAGTTTACAATAATTTATATGGACACATTATGTAAATAGGTTGCGACACATCGATCAGAGTTATCGCCTCTAGCATATACTGCAGACATTGGATGAAATTGGCATGTATTGAATCAGAATAACAACCATTCACCATTTGGCTAGTCTTCACAAAATCATCTTTCATGTGGTCAGTTTTTAAAGCCTTTTCTGAAGCAACTTGCGAAATCTGAATATTTTTCTTTGTTTATCGAGAATGTTTTATAAGTTATAAATTCCTTTTCAACGGATTTTTGTGTTAAATAATTGATTAAGAAAACTACTCGGGGAAAAAAAAACGTAAATGGTATTTAAGCTTGTAATTAACTCTTCTGCTGGAGAAAGGTAATATTGTAATATGAAGCTTTCCACTGTGTGTCTCTGGCGCTTCCGCCTCCAGTTGAACATTGTGTTTCACTCGTCCACAGGCTAACTGGTCAGGGTTCAGGGCCCCCGACACAGGTCAGAAGATAGATATTTAGTCAAGAAATACAGCTTTGTTCAACTTGCCTATGTTCACACACGCCTGATGGACGTCCAAGCCCCTCGCATACAAAATCTTCTTTACCCCCGTCCTTACAAACCCTTTCTTCAGGTGACCCCCTACCTCGATTTCTCTCCGCTACCGATTTATTCACCCTTTAATTTATCCTAATTTTCTCCATCCTCTCTAAATGCCAACAACCCCTCCTCAGCCCTCTGGATAATATTTTTAGTAACCCCATCACCTCCTAAACTCCAAGCAACTAATTCTCTGCATAATATTTACACACATACTGCCCTCACACACGACATCTCTACTGCCTCCAGCCTCCTCCCTGTTGTAATATTTACATCCCATGCTTCACACTCATATAAGAGTGACGGTACCACTATACTGTCATTCATTTCATATTTTGCCTCCATGGATAACGTTCTTTATCACCAGAGACGTCTGAATGCACCACCTACCTTTTTTCTCTCATCATCTCTATGGTTCATCTCGTCTTTCACAGACCCATCCGCTGACAAGGCCACTCCCAAATGTCTAAACACATTCACTTCCTCCATACTTCCTTCAAAATATGTGTTCCAACCATTGCAACATAGCTCCTGAAAATGCTCAGGCAACAGACTGAAACACCTAGAGCTACAGTTTTCCATACCCTATTGGCTTGTTATGCATAGTTTGCATCGTTTGTTTACGATTATTGTGTATAAATAATTTTACAGCCAATATTTTAAAACTTTCATTAAAAGACTCAAATATATTTAAGTGACTAGCCATTTACTTGATTCATTGCGATATATGTCGTGAATTTCTATATTTAAGTTTTTCAAATTAATATGACTCATTTCTTTCCTAAAATTCTAATTTCATGGGAAGGAGAAATTTTGCTATTGGCGGCTTTCTCTTGGCATCGAGCCCAGATTGCATCTGATCGCTACCTTATAACAGGGAAAATGACCCTCGTTCGGGAGCAAGTTCTGATTCTGTCCTGAAATAAGTCATCATTCTGATTATGACCCTTGACAGGACAGTGTTCATAACGAATATAAGAACAACAGCAACAAAAGTCTCCTCAAAAACAGTGTCTTAACTGAGTAAACAAGTCTTATTCTCACAATCTGTTGCTACACTGTATTTGTACATTATATTTATTACATTATTGTTAACTCTTTTCAGGCAGTGGCTGGTGAGCACGACAAGTCTGTAAATGAAGGCAATGAACAATCGTCAATTCTGTCTAAAATCATTCTTCACGAAGACTTCGATGGATATTACCTGTATAATGACATATCCCTTCTTCAGCTGTCTACGCCTCTTACTCTCAACGAATACGTGGATGTAATTTCGCTTCCCGAACAGGGTCATGAAGCCTCTGGTGACTGCGTCGTCACAGGCTGGGGCGACTTAGAAGAGGGAGGACACACTCCCAATATCCTGCAGAAAGTGACTGTCCCTATTGTGTCAGACAGTGAATGCCGCGATGACTATTCTGTGAAAGAGATTTCTGATTCCATGATCTGCGCTGGCTATCCACAAGGAGGGAAGGACTCGTGCCAGGGTGATTCTGGCGGACCTCTAGCGTGTGATGACGGCGGATATCGTTATCTAGCTGGCATCGTGTCTTGGGGGTATGGCTGTGCTCGTCCCAACTACCCCGGTGTTTACACTGAGGTGGCTTACTTCTCTGACTGGATACAGCTAAGCACTTTGTAAAATCTCATTTAGTATAAAGTTGTAACTGTGTAATACCGATAATGCAAGATTTACAATACTGTGTATCTTCCGGTAGGATGACATTTTCATTGTTAATATCGATAACTAATTTGATTGTACGAGTACTTGTGGTATTACAACAGCCTTGTAATTTACGAGACACTGCAAAAAAAAAAAAAAAAAAAAAACCTGGAAAACTTGGCTTTATATTAACTATGTGGTCGACTTTTCTGAAAGTATAATTTTATTGTCCAGATGCATTATTTAATTAACATTTCGTATATTTTTCCGAGTGAAAATGTTGGAATTTCTAAGAATTAAAGTTTGATCGCATGTATATACAATGATATTTATCCTACAACCTTGGAATGCTGTCAGTAATCCTTGGAAAAGTGAAGGGATGATGCTTGTGATGTATATTACAAAAAATCATGGCTCCTATAAGAAAAAACTAATAATTTCGAAAATCATTTCCTAAGTTAACTTGTTGCTTAGCCTTACTATACATATGTAGAACCGAGACAAGCAAAGAGAGGAACTTCCCTCCGTGCCCTTTTCCAGAGCATCACTTCATTTGAGATTATTCACTCCTAGGATGACTGGAGTCTGGAACATATTGTACAACCTAATGACATCAACGAAATAAAGTCAGTTGATCAAATTGATCAGATGTCTTCAGCTTCATTCTGTTTCCTCTTTGTATGTTTCATAACAATAAAAATGCTTTCAAATGAGCTGATGTAGGTAACAGATCTTAGCTTGTAAACAGAGTTAGGAACCTTAACCTAGAGAGAGACGCAGTTGACAAAAGAAGTAGAGACCTGACGAAAGTTGAAATAAATCTGTCAATAATAAGCACAATACAATACTTGAAACTCTCATGGCCTCGCACTGCCGGAGTTGCCACAGTTGTGAGCCTCTGGAAAACGTACAGTTTGGCGGAGGATCTAATTTACTGTGTTCGTTGGTGTTATGTACTCTTGTAAAATGTACCGCTTTCTGTTGTTTTCACCTGAGGAAAGAATAATTTAGAAAGTGGTCGTTTATTCCTGTGTCGTTTTACATACATGTCTGTTATGTTCGTTTATAAAGAAATAATCGGGAATTTGAGTACAAATGAGTCTTATGTTAGTTTGCAAAGAAATAATCGGGAATTTGAGTACAATCGAATCTGTTATGTTAGTTTGCAAAGAAATAATCGGGAATTTAAGTACAAACGAGTCTGTTATGTTAGTTTGCAAAGAAATAATCGGGAATTTGAGTACAAATGAGTCTGTCATGTTTGTTTGCAAAGAAATAATCGGGAATTTGAGTACAAACGAGTCTCTTATATTCATTTAAAAGGAAATACTCGGGAATTTGAGATACATTGCAGCTACTTGTGAATCTATAAGGACTGGTTATATTCCATTTTTATCCTTGAAATTTAAAAAATTAAGGCTAATTGGTATTAAACATTCACAGTGAGGAAAAAAATGTTTCTTACAACTTACTTGAGCCCAAGTGAAGTGAACCGCCATAAGACGAGGCAACGAGAAATGATGAAATAATTGATCTTGTTCATATGCAGAGTTTTCCTTTAAGATATGAATTAGAGCTTCCTAGGAGTTTGATCATCTAGAGAACTGGAGCTACTTTCCCTTTCCTTGGATCAAACTTGATCATCCCCCTATTCCCCAGGTGCTGTATGATAGCTACGAGTTTAGCGCTACCCATCTGTATAATAATAATAATAATAATAATAATAATAATAATAATAATAATAATAATAATAATAATAATAATAATAATAATAATGAAAATAATAATAAAAATAATAGTTGATAATGTTTCTGATAGTGGAAGATGGCTAACGTAATTCCTATTTTAAAGCAGGGGACAAGTCGTTACCATTAAATTACCGTCCATTAAGCCTGACCTCAACTGTAAGCAAATTACTAGAGTCAATTATAACTGAATTTATAAGAAGCCGTCTTGATAAGCATGCGTATGAGAACCGTATATTGATATCAATAGCATACAGATTAATATACATACGCAGTGTTGATAACAATCATTCACCCCAGTTAGTTATTAAACCAGAATAACCCAATAAAGGTAAATAGTAAACCCAATTGTGTCTGAGTTCTTCCGACCCAGCGACAGTTGGGCAATAGGATCCGACACTCGGAAACGACTAAGGCCTAGGTACCAAATGTGTAAAGGGATTTTATACGTAAGTTCCCCAGTCTTCTAATAACATGTTAATTTTTCCACTATAATCTACCTTGTCCGCAATTACTATCGCATTTGCTTTGTCTGTTTCGTAAGGTGAAGTCCAGGATCTTTCCTTAATTCATGGTATAACTTAACAAATCTTTGAGGACAATTGTTATTGCAGAAATCCTCTTGAAGTGCTCACATGGTTATATGTGAGAGAGGAAAAAACGCGTAAAATAAAGGGTATGAGGAATATTTAGGATTACTGATTACGGACCTACAAGGTCCGTTTCTAATACAACCTACCCAACATTTTCCACCTGACTCTCCACCCTATATATACTCATGTACTCTTTGGCCAGGTAGATCTGTTAATGATTTGGGCGAAACGTAGTCCATAAAGGGTCGCATTATGCTGTATTTGTGTCTCTTTTTCTATGCTGGGAACAGATTAAACAACTTTTATTATAGAGCAGGTGTGCATGCCAGTTCTTCCAAGAATCTGGTCCTAGTTACCATACATAAGCGAGGAAACTTTGAAGCCGATCGAAGGAGACCTTCTCGAGTTATAAGCGAAACAAAAACGAAGAGTTGGATGATGGAAAAAATATCACTTACAGGTCCCTAGTAGGGGATACCTAAAAAATCTTGTAGTCACTTCGGTCTGAGTCAACAACGCGCCAGAAATCTCCTGACCATCTAATGCAATATAATGTAAACACACATCTGTCTTCTAGTGAGTGGGAAAAATGATAAGGGGAAAATAGTGATAGCATGTGTTTAAAGTTTTAATAAAACTACTGTTTATAGAAGCATCAATACTATGTAACTAAATGCATTTCAATCACCCCAAGTTACAACATTTGCATCAGTAGAGTGCTCTAAATACTGATACTTCACTTAACATGTATTTAAACAAAATCTATTGCTCCACGAGTTGATTTTGCTGAGGTAGTGTCGCGAGTCCCATTCTAACTTGCCTACCTTTCTTGCTGTCCAATATATTTATAAATATTTAAGCCCATCAAAACCGTAGCTTGGATGAACGCAGTTAATTCTGACGTTCGAAACTTTCCATCATTATCAGATCAATAATTTGAGAGATGTTGTAATTTGAAAATATGAAGTTATTTATAGTATACAGGTACATAGCTGTTTGAAATGATATTAATTCAGAAATATTTTCGGAATAAGGAAAAAAAAACTTTGGTCTTCATAAAACTCACTGCTTGGCCACTAGTGTGAGTTTTATATAAGAAAATACATAATTATTTCTTTTAATTAAACGTATGATGTTCCTAGATTTTTACACATTTGTGTTTTCTGATGCAAAATTTATTCTCGAATTTCTTTACGATATCTGGCTTGGTTTCACGGCTCTTTTTGGTAATTCACCGCTTGAAGCACAGAGCAGAAGTATAATAATAATAATAATAATTAATAATAATAATAATAATAATAATAATAATAATAATAATAATAATAATAATAATAATAATCTGTTAAAGGTTATAGATACATTATGCCTTCACTGTTGAAAAGTAAAACAGTAATATTCCAATGTTTTCTGTGTTACTAACTCATCCTGACTTTTATATAAGTTAGCGTGTAATTCAGCGTATAACTAAGAAATGGACGGGGATTCGAACCTTGGTCCTTACATGTCTTTACAGTCCTTCCATGAAAGAAGGCAAATGAGCATTGGGTATGCTACAAAATATAGCCTATAAATAAATTACATTTCATATTTAACATCAGTGAAACGTGAGAAACACTTAAGCGACACGTGTAAAGATAAGAAATGTTCACAAGAAAGTGACCTTGTGAAGACGGGAAAACCAAGCAATGGAAGGGGGTAGAAATAATGGATTTTCTGTAGTATTGGTCTATATTAGCAAACCAGTGTTATTCTGGGTTGTGTATCTTGATAACAGAAATGAGTGAAGGTGACATTGCCTCCAGTAGAGTTATTATCTCAGAGTTGGCTAACTAGAATTAGATTTTATTTTATTAACCTATTACAATTAGACATTTTATTAACCTATTACAATTAGACATAAACCGAACCGTGCGGTTACACTCTGTAATCTGCATAAGATTTGGTAATTAAAGTGAGAGTTAATGATGTTTATCTAACACACACATTATTACACACGATAATACTTTTATCATGCTTCCTCACATAGGATGTTGTTTCTGTCATACTCCCTCACACAGGATATTTCTGTTATGCTCCTCCACACAGGATGATATTCGTGTCTTACTTCATCCCATTGGATTGCATTCCTGTCATACCCCATCACACAGGATTGCATTCCTATAATGCTCCATCACATAGTGTGATATTTCTGTCATACTCCACCAGACATGATGGCCTTACCACATGAAGCATTGAAATCTGTCAGCTTGAGGTTAGGTTAGGTTAGGTAAGGTTCGTCAGGAAACAGGACATGTGTTTCCTGACGCGGGTCTTAGATGATGACCCGCCGTTGGAGCTTTTGGTCATCTGACCGAGGCCTTCCGCTGGCTTATCGTTCCTCCCCTTTAAAAATTATGGTCATAGTTATAACCATTTACTATTACTGTGTCAGCTTGTGTTGGGAGACTTCAATATGGCAATGCGGATATCGTCAAGTACTCCAAAATACTGTAAATTTCATAGCTACGGCATCTTTTGCAGGGATCGTTCCAGCAGAACTGGAGTAACTTTTACACAGGGATTATTACTATCTGTACAGCCTATTGCACACATAATGGAAATAACGAGGCAATCATTTTGCTATGAATTCATAGCGTATGTCAAAGACTAATTATAGTAACTAGTGCATTTGTGAATTAAAGTCATAATTAAAAGATAGTTGTTGTAAAAAAAAAAGAAACATATCGCAGTGGTAAAAGAATAATCACTCCTGTTTTATAAATAATATTTCAGATATTTTTTTAACCACATCGACCGTTTCATCCTATTATATTATTATTATTCTCCTTATTATTGTTATTATTATTATTATTTACAGGCAATACATAATTACATTATATAAGTTAAAGGTACTACGATAAGGAGCGATAGTGAGTGTGGTATTTCCCTGTAGGTAGTATAAATAGTGGCGGGGAGCTGTACTGTGCACCAGACACCACAGCCATGAAGACCCTCGTACTGTGCCTATTCCTCGCCGGGGCGCTAGGTAAGTTCCAGCAACACTCACGAACCACCTCAGTTGCTGTCAACAATTTAACGTCTTGGATTGCGGAAAATCCACTTATGAACAGATATATAATTAATAACTCATTCAGAACATTTTTGAAGATGGTATTATAATTGATTCGTGATGATTTATGTGGAAAGTGGCTATATAATTTCACTGAAATTTAACTGATATCTTTCCCATGTGGTCACAGCCGCTCCTTCGCGTCATCTGAGATATCGACTCAGTAACTATAAGATTGTTGGTGGCACTGATGCTGAGCCAGGCGAGTTTCCTTACCAGCTGAGCTTCCAGGAAACTTTCTTGGGTTTCAGCTTCCATTTTTGTGGAGCTTCCATTTACAGTGAGAAATGGGCCATAACGGCTGGCCACTGTGTTTACGGGGACAACTACAACAATCCCAGCGGCCTCCAAGTAAGTCAAAGTTATGTTTGATGATATAATTCTTAGTCGTTGTGAGAGTTGTCAACTTGAAAATATTCGAAAAACAATGTTTTTTTTTTTATGTATGGTGAAATTATTGCTTTTCAATAATTAATGCTAATAATGATTCTAAAGTAAATTCTATGTGTGTCCGAGACACAGCAAATGTTTGTAAAGTTTTTAGAAAAGAAATCTTACACTTTGTAATGAACATATGTAATTTATTGTTCATACTATAAAAAAAAAACATTTTCCAGGAGCTATAGAACGCCTGGAAAATGGAAATGAATTAGATTTTATCCGAGTAAAAGAGGGTTGCTCTAGTTACTTAGACAAAGAGACTTTAATGTCATGCAACACAGTGACAAGGGTTCATAGCCCAATATTTGTGATATAAAATATGTGTTGTGGCTGCCGAATCAATCACAGGTACTCTACCCTAGAGGACCAAAACCGTGTACACTGTAGAATGGAGCCCAGAGCGGTGAAAATACCTAACAATATTGCTTCCTGGTGTGGTAGTGTAGACAGGATATTATTATATTTATAGGAGAGAGGTAAAACCGTGCGGGTTATACAGCGCCTGGGAAATAGGGGGGCATTTAGGCTGGAGCCGAGGAAGGGGATCACAAGCCCAGTTCCTTACTGAGAACCATTCACCTATATCAAGGATGTAGACTGAGCCATCTTGGTGTCATGCCAGACACAAGTCCATCTTCTGGCACGATAACATAGGCTGTGTGGAAAAATGATAATTATTAAAAATGCATTTTCGAAACAATTTTTTTTTTTTGTAAATTTGATGTTATTGCGCTGGCAATAACATTGAATGGTATGCGAATGTTAATATCATATTATTTCATTAATTTCAGGTTGTGGCTGGAGAGCTAGACTTAAGCAGGAATGATGGTACGGAACAATATTCCAGCGTGTCAAGAATAATCCTACATGATGGCTTCGATTATGATTTATTGACAAACGACATAGCTCTTCTTGAGTTGGCTCAGCCCTTAGAGTTCAACGAGAATGTAGGTCCGGTTACTCTTCCTGAACAAGGACATCAGGCAACTGGTGATTCTGTTATCACAGGCTGGGGCACTCTCACTGAGGGAGGAAGTACCCCTGATGTACTGCAAAAGGTGACTATCCCTATCGTATCAGATGAGGAGTGCCGTAATGACTACAGTGCGGACGATGTCTACGACTATATGATCTGCGCTGGAGTTCCTGAGGGAGGAAAGGACTCTTGCCAGGGTGACTCTGGAGGACCAATGGTTGCAAGCGACACTGGATCACCATATCTGGCTGGCATCGTGTCTTGGGGTTACGGCTGTGCACGTCCCAACCGGCCAGGTGTCTACACTGAGGTGGCTTACTTCGTTGACTGGGTTGTGGAAAATGCTGTGTAAGCAGTGCAACTGAAAATATTGAGAGATTGTAGCTCTCTCAGCAAATAAACTTTATCGAATGTAACAATGTTCTAAAAATCCTAAAACTAGTATTAAAACAGTTACATCGTATCTCTCTCTCTCTCTCACACACACACACACACACACACACATACACATACGGCACCAGTCTGGAACCCAAACCTAGCCAAGCACGTAAAGAAACTAGAGAAAGTGCTAAGGTTTGCAACAAGACTAGTCCCAGAGCTAAGAGTTATGTCCTACGAGGAGAGGTTAAGGGAAATCAACCTGACGACACTGGAGGACAGGAGAGATAGGGAGGACATGATAACGACATACAAAATACTGAGAGGAATTGACAAGGTGGACAAAGACAGGATGTTCCAGAGATTGGACACAGCAACAAGGGGACACAGTTGGAAGTTGAAGACACAGATGAATCACCGGGATGTTAGGAAGTATTTCTTCAGCCACAGAGTGGTCAGAAAGTGGAATAGTTTGGGAAGCGATGTAGTGGAGGCAGAATCCATACATAGCTTTAAGCAGTGGTATGATAAAGCTCAAGGTTCAGGGAGAGTGACCTAGTAGCGACCAGTGAAGAGGCGGGGCCAGGGGCTTGGACTCAACCCCTGCAACCTCAACTAGGTGAGTACACACACACACACACACACACACGGACACACACACACACACACATACACACCACACCCCACCACACACACACACCCAACACCGACAAGAACCCACAGAAACCCACCAGGTCTCCCACCCTCACCCCCCCCCAAAACCCACAGTGTTGGGAAAGGAAACTAAAGGGTATGGTACAAAAACGCAGGGGAATAACAAATAAGTGGGGGGAGGGGCATGAAAAGTAAAAAGAACACCCCGGACATAAGCCTCACAGAAACCAAGCTTACGGGTATGAAAACAGATGCCACTTTCCAACGGGATACCAAATCCTGAGGAAAACAAGGGAACGGGGGGGAGTGGAGGAGTGGCGTTGCTGATCAAAAATCGCTGGAATTTTGAGACTGGAGAGGGGGAGCGGGAGAAAAAAGTGATTACATAGTGGGAACCTTCCTCGGAGGTCCCAAGGGGAAAATAGCATGATGAAAACCCACCACAGAACAGCAGGAGGCCAAGGCAAAAGTACGACGAGAGCAATAGGCGAGGGTTGACACACGGCTAGAGTCCCCAAAGACCCTATGCAGCGGGCAAAGCTCCTGATCAGGGTGATTTTTAACCACAAGGAGATCGATTGGGAAACGGGGACCCACATGGGGCCAAGATACAAGGGCTAAGATATGAGGGGGTACGGAAAATTTCATTGCCAACACGTAAGGGACACTACAAGAGGAGAGGAGGATGAACCAAAAGGCTGGCTTAGTATTCCCTTGATATGCAATATCGGGGACATCACATATGAAAACCCCTTGGGCCATGACCATGGGTTTTAAGCTTCGAAAACACAGTAGAGCACAAGTGGAGGGAGAAGCAGGAACCCCCAGGACGAATGAAGCCAAACTACAAGAAAGGGACTACACAGAAGAGGAACTACCTGAAGGGGGTTTCAGGGGGGACAGGAACTGGCGGGGAAACCCCCAGTTAATGAGATATGGAATATGTAGAAACAAAATGAAAGGGGGCTGGGGAAAGGGGTTTTGTACCCAAAGGGAAACAGGATTAATGAAAAACCCCGGACGACCCATGGTTTCCCAAAGGTCAGGGGGCAAAAACCAAGGGGCGGGGAATGGAAAAATATAAAAGGGCAAAGACCCGGGAGAAAAGGAGAACATCGGAGCCAGAAACGAATATCACAGAAAAAGGGACCCCAAAGCAAATAAAATCATAGCAGCGAAAGCCAAATTGCCCCGAAACTTTGAACAGCCACATCAGGGGAAAAAAACAGTCAAGGACCAGGTAATCGGGAAAGGGAAAAGGAAGGGGGAGAGACAACGGCCGTGGTAGGGAAAACTCAACAAGAGATTAAAAGAAGGTTTTTCACAAGGAGCAGAAGGACTCCAAAAGAGAGAGGGGGGGCACACCACAAAGGCTGACACAGTGCACACAACCGAGGAAGAAGTGAAGAGGCTTCTGAGTGGCTAGAACCTAAAAGGGAAAAGGGGGGCCAGATAACATCTCCCCATGGTATTGCGAAGGGAGCGAGGCGCTATGTGTACCCCAACAAAATATTAAATACATCTATCAAAAACAGGGGAGATTGCCTGAGGCATGGAAGCAGAAAAATGTAGCCCCCAATTTTTTAAAAAAAGGACAGACATGAAGCATTAAACTACGACCAGTTCACGACAGTTAGTATGCAAAATCTGGAAAGTTTATCGGGGAGAAAGTGGGGAACACCTGGAAAGGAATGATCTCATCAACAGCAGCCAACATGGTTTAAAGGAGGGGAAATCCTGTGTCACAAACCTACTGGAGTTCTATGACATGGTGCAGCATAAGACAAGAGAAGAGGGGGGTGGGTTGCATTTTTTTGGACTGCAAGAAGGCGTTTGACACATTTCCCACACAAGAGATTGGTGCAAAAACGGGGGACCAAGCAGGGATAACGGGGAAGGCACTACAAGGGATCGGGAATACTTGTCGGGAACGCACGATCATGGTACGTGGCGGTGTCAGAGTGGCACCTGTGACCAGCGGGGTCCCGCAGGGTCAGTCCTAGGACCTGCTTTTTTCGGGTATTGTGAACACTAGGGAAAGGGAATAACTCTGAGGTGTCCCTTTGAATAAAAAAACGGAATTTAAAATAGAAGAATTCACTCGTCGAAGACCAGGCAGAACTACAAAGGGATCGGGACAGGCTGCGACCTGGTCCAGCAATTGGCTCCGGGATTTAAAAACCCCACCAATGCAAAGTCATGAAGATTGGGGAAGGGCAAAGAAGGCCGCGACGAGTACAGTCTAGGGGGTCAGAACTAAAAACCCTCACCAAGAAAAAGATCTGGGGTAGTATAACACCAGGCACATCTCCTGAAGCCACATCAACCAAATAACTGCTGCAGCATATGGGGGCCCCAGCAAAACCCGAACAGCATTCCGCATCTTATAAGGAATCATTCAGGGCCCTGTACACCGTGTATGTTTTGGCCCATATTGGGGTATGCGGCACCATTTGGGAAACCCCACCCAGCCAAGCCGGAAGAAAAAAAAAAGTGCAAAAGGGTTTTCAAAAGACTACCCGACTAAAAGGTATATCCACGAGGAAGGGTTTAAGGAAACAACCGACGACACTGGGGGACAGGGGAGATAGGGGGGGGCATGATAACGACATACAAAATACTGAGAAATTGCAAGGTGGCAAAGACAGATGTTCCAAGATTGGACACAGTAACAAGGGGACACAGTTGGAAGCTGAAACACAGATGAATCACAGGGATGTTAGAAGTATTTCTTTAGCCACAGAGTATCAGTAAGTGGAATATTTGGGAAGCGATGTATGAGGGAGGATCCAACATACTTTAAGCAAAGGATGATAAACTCACGGGTCAGGGAGGTGACCTAGTACGATCGTGAAGAGGCGGGCCAGGGGCTCGGACTCGACCCCCGCAACCCCAACTAGGTGATACAACAGGGGAGTAACACACACACACACAACACACACACACACACACACACACACACCACACACACACAACACACACACAACACACACCACACAACACACACACACAACACACACACACCAAAAAAAACGACAACAGTCTGAAGGAAGCAGGAAACTAAACTGTATCAGAGGCCCGTCAAACCCACAAGGAGCCAAAACAGAGACAGGGACACACAGAAGAAGAAGGTTTGGGAAAACATTGAAGGAACTAGGACATGTGAAGGGCCTTACCAGATACCTGTGGGGGGCCCGGGAAAAGGTGAGCAGGAAGGACAAACCAAAAAGCATAGGGGCCATAACTAGGGGAAAGGGGCTGAAGGAAGGAACACCCACGGGGAAAAACTAAAACAACAAGAGGGTGCAATGGGATACAGTGGGGGGGTGGAAAGGGGGAAAATCCCCGTTTGTCTATGGGCTAGACGAAGCTAAAGGGGGAAAATTTTGATAAAGAAAGCAGGAGGGGAAAAAACGATTGAAGATATCATGAAGGTGATAGGCAAGGGGGGCATGACCCCGGTACAAATTTTTTGGAGAATTGGGGGGGTTTCCCAAAAAAAAAGGGAAACGGCCTCTCAAGTAAATTTTCAAGGCAGAACAACCCGAACCATATCCGAGGAGAAAGATGGGTGAGAGGGAAAGGGAGTTTCCGGGGTGTGTACCTCGAGGACGAACACAGGGCAAAGGAAACAATGAAGAGAGAGTTCAAAAAAAAAGGGGAAATGGGGGGAAATGAAAAAAGGGGAGCAAATAAGTCAGAAATAAGAATAAGTCAGAATAAGCCAGAAACACCTGCAAAAGGGCTCCACCACGACACCCCCCAAAGGGAACTGAACAACCAAACCAACCTACAACACCGATCCCTCTGTTTCCACCCCCCGACCACAGTTACAGTATTAAACGAAGTTTAAGGTTTGGACACAAATGCAGAGGATTAACGAAAAACATGAGGAATGGCAAGAAAGAATCAATGGAAAATCCCTAGACATCATAGCATTACGAAACAAAACTCACGGGGCAAAAACAGATGCAAACTTCCCCCCAGGGTACCAATCATAGGGAAAGAAGAAGGGGCAGGAGGAGGTGGGGGTTTCTCTGCTCGTAAAAAAAAAAGATGGAAATTTGAGAAAAAGGAAAGGGATAGATGAACGGGAGAAAGAGACTACATAAGGTAACTTCAGTCCCGGGGAACACAAAATGGTCATTTCATGATGTAAATCCACCACAGAACGCAGGAGGCCAAGGAGAATATGAAGAAGCAACAAGCAAAAGGGGGACACACTTTCTGAGGTGGGAAAGGCCACTCCAGCAGAGCAAAGTTGCTGGGAGGGGGATTTCAACCACAGGGGGATTGACTGGGGAAAAACCCGGAGCCACATGGGGGTCCCGAAACATGGGGACCAGGATGTTGGATGTGGGGCGGAAAAAAACCCCATCCCACAGTT